AGATAGAGTCATCTCAGTTGATTGTGTAAGATTAAAGTTAAATCTAGCGGATCTATTTACTAAGCCCCTAGGGAAGAAATTTATTATTGAAACATCGAGGAGAATGGGACTTAAGCTTGTTTGAAATTAACGGTGATTGCAACCTAACCTTTGTGATTGGAGATCCCATCAAAAAGGTTCAATGAGTAAGAACAAATCACTTATTAGTTCTGTTAGCATTTAATTTTTATCTTTCTTATAGCTTGAGAAAGTACTATAATGCATTGAACGGAGGCTAAGTGGAGGCTCTTAATGTTTTTATAATCCTTATGGATTGTATATTTATTGTAGATATACTTGATAAAAACACATATATAAATGTGAAGTGGGGCCACTCCTATGAGATTGTAATGAAATTTCTGGAGCATTTGTTAAAATCAAGCACGTGCATGATTGATAATGTGCAAAACTATCGTTAGTAATAAAGACTGTGGGGGTATAATTTGATTAATAAGACCTCTAGTACACGCTCAAGATCTGTTAGTTCAATAACAAAGTTACATTGACTTTTTTGCATGCTAAGTTTTATTAATCTATGTTTGGTTTAAGTTGAAAGACATTAAATTCAACATAATTATCCTTCGTGTGAGTAACTCAGATGATAGTAGATTCTTTTAACATATGTGGGGGATTGTTGTAATAATTATATTTGTGTGTATCAAAAGAAGTCCCACATTGCCTAAATAAAGAGTGCTCCTAGTGTATAAATACTAAAGAATAAGTCGGCTAGTGAAATGTGCTTCTTGAAGGAGAAGTGGGCTTACATGCATGAAATAGGCCAATTCAGGGTAATCGCAATTGAAAACAATCGATTTGTCCTCTTACGTGCAAGTTCAAGAGGCACTGGATTTCTTTTATCGGAGTATTTTTTCAAAAAAAAAATATTTATTTACATGATCTTATTGAAAAACCTTGATGTTTAGCTATTTAAAATTTGGATTCAACCTTAAACATCTTTTGGCCTTTAAATAGATTCTTAAATGGATTTACATTAATCAAATCCATTATGTGTTTGTTTCCAAACAGCTCTAAGAGTAATGTGTGCATGTGTTTATGCTGTTTTATGATCATGTAATCGGGGCTTAATGGTGTTTAATTATTATGAACCCAACATTCATGTCTTTACCTTCGACCTATGTGTAGCCATGGGTACAGACAGAATGGTGTGCCTGCCTCTTGAGCTTTTGAGGCTCTCTTTCCTCCTCCACTGTGTATTTCTTTTTCATTTGAGTTTGCTATTCTGTGCCCTTGCGTTCTTGTAGGACATGCTTATTTAATTTTAGAGAATTGTTGATCTGCCATACTAGTGTGTCGGAATAATTCTTAAGAGTAGCATCCTTTAGCACGACCCAAGCAACTCATGATTTACCTCCATACTACCTACAATCTTAGTTGCCTTCTTTAGCTTCAACTTTTACCAACACCACCAAGAAGATCGTAGACTTTGACACGGCTTGGTCATGGTCTATTTCTTCGGAGGGGATTTACTCTACCATTGAAGACTTAAAAAATCAATAAAAAAGCTTTGCAAAGTATATAAAAAACTCATGCTATAAAATTTAATAGAAATTAACAATATATTTATATTTTTATCTACTATTACTCATAAAAATACTTTTTGATTTTATTTATAAATTATTTTAACATGTTTTATTGGAAAAAAAACCTTAAAATTTATTAATTTTGTTTAAAATTTTGATAAGTTTTCAATTTTGGCCATATTAAATGCACATACTTTATCTCTCTAACATTTAATAGATGATAAAATAAAAAAATTTGTGATAAAAATTTAATATTCTAGCTTATAAATAAGATAAAAAAGCACTCATCTCTTTACCTTATAAGTGAAAAGGCTATACATGAATAAGTGAAAGGACTACAGAGTAAAGAATGCATACTTGCATAAAGATTAGAAAGTAAGAAATACATAATAAAAATATGATAAAAGTGAAAGTTAAAAGATTGAGGGGCCAAAGCAGTAATTTTTTTCTTATAGAAAATCACTTCATAACTCTATATTTTTTTTAAAAAAAATTTACACTATCTAAGTGTCCCCCTATGTGGCATCTATGATCTACATGATATCATTAGTGACAAACTTAATGGTTAACATTGGAGTATTTAAGGTGAGTGACATATTTACTATATTTTAATTATTTTAAAGGTAAAATTAAGACCACAAAGAATTTAGCATATTAAATACTTATTGAATAACATGTCATATCAAATTATCTATATTAGTGATCCATTACTGTATAGAAAAAAATAATTAGACAAATGAATGAGAGCATCCAAAGACTGTCTCCTTTACTTGCAAATGTTCGTTTTTTTTTTAACATTTGCCTGTCTTTCTAGCAACATAAAACTAATTGTTGCGTAGAACAATTGACGACGTCATGACAAAAGAAAAAAGAACATCATACTGCTAACCAGTCTCCGCTCAACGAGTGAGTTAAATAACTGAATGTATCGCCACCAAAAAAGGAATGGAATGGATCATACTTTCAAGATTACAGAAGATTTCCTTGTGCGCGTGTTCATGAAAAATCTAAAAGCTCTATTTTTATCAATGCAATTTTTTGTTATTTTGGTCTCTCTTGATTCAACATTAAACCAGATTAAATGAGTCCCTTTCGCATTTATTATATTATCAACTGTGCCAATCAACATAGTGACGTAACCCATCCTTTAGCAATTTACAGCCCTAATTAGGACACGGTAGGCATTTTTGGGTTAGATTCAATTTGGATTGACTTATTTAAGTTATTTTAAACTCATAAAAAAGCTTGAATAATCAAGCTTTACTCAAATCTTTTTGAATTTTGAACTTATTTGAATCAGTCTAAATATTCAAATTATCATTTTTACTTTTTAAATTAATTTAACTTATTTTTTAATTTAAAATTATTTATTTTTATTTTATAGGAAAATACAAAATATATTTTTTGCGATATTGAAATGATACAGAAGACTCAATCTTTTTTTAAAAAATATGTGGATCTTAAAATTAAAAATTCAATATTAAAGTACATTTTAAATATCATTTTAAGATATTTTATAAATTAAAAATAATAAAAATATGATAATATAAATTTTTTTTATTTTTTTTAAAAAATATTTGTGATAATATATTTAAATAGATGGTATTTTAGTATAAAATAAATTAAAATATAAAGAATTAGTTAGTATTTAATATATTCTATATATTTTTTAAAAATGTAATTTTTTATTTAAATTGAAACTTAACTCAAATTTTTTTAAATTTATTTAGATTGGTTTGAATTGGCACAGACATTATTAAAAAAAAAAACTATTTTATTATGGCCTATCCTAAATTTTTTACAAGCTGGCTGGCATCAGCCTGAAACTTTAACTTAACTGACTTTTGGCTTTGATAGGCTGATAGCTAGCTAGCATGGCAGGGATAACTTTGAACTTCAGTTATGGCTAATATCACACCAATTTTCGGTCCCAACCAGTTTAGTTGGCATTTAATAACGCCAGGTCACCAACAAAATTGTTCCCTGTTCCATGTTACTACATGGATTAGCCGGTTTAAAAGTCAATCGGCCCTGAAATACCCAAAAAAAGGGAAGTCTGTTGGCAAAAAATAAAATAAATAACTGGTCTCAAAAAATTGCTGATAGTTACTAATAAATAGCATGATAGGTGAAGGTGAATTTAAAGCCGACACAGAGCAGTGAAAATATATTAAAAGAAAGCTAACGTACAGTATTTTAAATTATGTGCAAGTAACTAGTTAATATTAATCATTTCTTAATCTATTTGCGTAATATCAGGCAATTTTTTTTTACTATTATCTTCCACCTTATTATGGCATATCAGCATTGATCTTCGCTTTATAGCAAGAAATTGTACTTCGGGGGAGAAATTATAGTTTTATAGCACCAATTAAATAAGGAATGGAGTTGTATTTTTAAATAATGTAATTTTGCAAATTTTAATTTTAAGTTTAAAAATGAGCTGTTTCATTCAAAATTTATAAACCCTTATACTCTCTCTAATTTTATTTATACATCACTTTTAACATATTTCATCAGAATCAGAGAAAGTTATAAAATTTATTAATTTTGTTTTAAAATTTAACAAGTTTTCATTTTAAACTCTAATAAATGTTCTTAAATCTTATTACTATTATTAGTATTTTTATTCAAAGTATTTAATAAGGATAAAAATATAAAGAAAAGCATTAATAATTGACAAGTGTTGTATAAATAGAATTAATTATTTTATTCTCTATCTACCTTATAAATAGGACTAAATAAATGTATTTCATGTGGCAAAATAGTAATTATTCGTAAAAAAATTTCAAATCTTTATAGCTGGTAATTATTTGAATGATGTGTTAAGGTTAATTACTGATATGTATAAATTATGAACTATTAATTAATAATTATCTATTCATGTGACATCTTTTTTACGGCCTGAATTCATGTAATATCATTATAAAGCATTTTCTTTTATCATCCCCTTCCGACTCACTATGGTATCAATTAATCCTTTCTTTGCAAGTAGGCAAAAAATCTTTACTTTATGGCAAACAACAATGGTATTTTCTATTTTGAGGAGAAATTGTAGTTTTATACTAATTAGGCAAGATATGGCGTTGCACTATTAATAATATCTTACACATAATGTAATTCTCATTTTAAATTTATGTAGTTATTGAGTTTTATGTGTTGCATGTATTTAAAAATGGTATGCTCTATTTAGAATTAATAAAAAGTTTGGCTTGTTAGAATTTTCATATATTCATAGTATATTGATGCATAGATGTTGCTATTAATTTTTAATTTGTTGGTTTAAATATTTAATAAATACAAGTAATAATACATGGAAAGAAGTGGGCGCGTGAGTGTTGAACGCGTGTATGCGAAGGGATCATCGTCCAGCTGCCGCCCACAAAAGCTGTGAGTCTGACCTCACCACACATGCACTGATACGTCTCCACTCGGAGATCAGTGGTCTCTCCTGGTTTTCAAACCTCCAGCCTAACCCACACAACACAAAGCCCCCCACTGTGTTCGCCTACTGGCAAAAGCACTCTTGTGTGCAGCCCCTTCTGCTTTTATTTCCAATTACACTTCTCCACAACACTGTGCCTCCTTTGCACCTCTACTCTCTGTTTTTCTCTTTGCCCTTTTCTTCTATTTTCCTCCTTTTTTCATCTTTTCGCCCATTTCCGTGTTTATCAAGATTGGGCACTCATTGTTCGACGCCTGCTCTCACCTTTTTTAGAATCAATAATATAGTACTTTTGCACTTGAACTGTTATTCGATATTATCATGTTTGTGTGCGACGGTGCATCACGCATTGGATCAGCAACGTAACTCAAACTGTGTTCGGACAACAATCTGGATCCTGAAATTAATTGGAATTTCGCTAAGCTGTTGCTTCTGATTCTTGTATGTATTTGCAATTGACTGTGTCGAGCTTGAAAGAGGACGAACCGAAGTACGTCATGTTTCACGCATTTTGTGGGATAATTTACCTGCTAATTTCTGTGTAGCTGCCCATTTGCTGCGCCGGATTTGGAATTCCGTATCATCATAAATCAATATCCTGCAATAATTGGTATTAGGTTAGTTTTTCCTGAGGCAGAGTTCAGAGGTCAGACTGCCACAGGGCAGTATTGCAGCTCACTGTTTTAGGAGGCTATTGAACTGTCTTGGACCTCATGAATTTTTGGCCAATTCCAGTATCAGGCTTTTCTTCAAGTAGTTTCTTTCAGTGATGGGTTGCGTTTATTCAAGGGTTTGCATAGGTGAGGTTTGTAGCCCAAGAAATTCCGGGATAAATGAAGGTCGAAATGCGAAAACTAGTGAGGCTGCTTGGTTGTCTCCTGCGTCCTCGGATGTTCAGGAAGGTGAAGTTAGAGACCAATTTAATCAATTGAGCTTAACCAGAGACTCTGAAGCAGGCATCAGAAGGCTAGCTAGGGTTTCAGCGCAGTTTCTACCTCCTGATGGCTCGCGAGCAGTGAAGGTTCCTTCGGGAAACTTTGAATTGCGTTATTCGTACTTGTCACAGAGAGGTTACTACCCTGATGCTCTAGATAAGGCCAACCAAGATAGTTTTTGCATTCACACCCCATTTGGTACCCACCCTGATGATCATTTCTTTGGGGTTTTCGATGGGCACGGAGAGTTTGGGACTCAGTGTTCGCAGTTCGTGAAGCGAAAGCTATGTGAGAATTTGCTTAGAAATAGTAAATTTCGAGTAGATGCTGTGGAGGCTTGTCACGCTGCGTTCTTGGCGACAAACTCGCAGTTGCATGCTGATGTTTTGGATGATAGCATGAGTGGCACTACAGCAATTACGGTATTGGTTCGGGGTAGGACAATATACGTGGCCAATTCAGGTGATTCTAGGGCGGTGATTGCAGAGAGGAGAGGAAACGATGTTGTGGCAGTAGACTTGTCCATGGATCAAACACCTTTTAGGCAAGACGAACTTGAAAGGGTCAGGCTTTGTGGAGCTAGAGTTCTTACTCTGGATCAGATTGAAGGGCTTAAGAATCCTGATGTTCAATGTTGGGGTACAGAAGAAGGAGATGATGGTGATCCGCCTAGATTGTGGGTTCCGAACGGGATGTACCCTGGTACAGCTTTCACTAGAAGCATTGGTGATTCAGTTGCCGAGACCATTGGCGTCGTTGCTACCCCAGAAATTGTTGTTTTCGAGCTCACACCAAACCATCCTTTCTTTGTGCTTGCCAGCGACGGTGTCTTTGAGTTTCTATCTAGCCAGACTGTGGTTGAAATGGTAATATTTCTTCTTGTCTTTATAAAACTAATATCATCTTTGACAGAGAGCATATATACTAGCCCATTCTGTAACGCAAGAGCAAATGTTCTTGTTTTCTATATTGTTCAAAATTTGTGGGGTCTGGTAAAAAAAGCAAGTTGCTGTCAAGGTTATTATGACATTTTCACTTTTACACACAAATATTTGCTCATAAATCTTTTAGAAGAGACATTGAGTGATTAAGTGACGAGTTTCTGAGGAATGTGGTAGTAGTTTTTTATGATTTATGAAACGAGCTTTGATAAGCTTTCAAGTGCTTTAGAGTAATTTACCGATAAATTTTTTAGCTTTTAGGTGTTATTTTGGTGAGGGACCAGACTTGTATTTCGAGATCTTGGTATTTGTAGGAAAAGTTGAATCATGCATGGATTAGTTGGTAAGTATTTCTTTCATTTGACTTGATGTAAGCTGCGAATATAATAAATCTTTCTGGCTATAATCACATTTTGAATTTTTCCCATTTGATGATTGATAAGAAGTATGGTATATTCCAATTTACTTCATTTGAAAATGTTCTGGTATCCTTTTCCTTTTCCTGGGGTGAAAGAACTGTTTATATTTGGTCTTTTGCATTTGAACACGATTCTTCAATGGATACGAAATCATAGTTTGTTCATTTACCTTAATGCTTATGAGATTTTGTTAACATCTATTTTGCATCCTTTGATATCCCTATTCTACTGATAAATTTCTCCTTCTACTAAAGAAAAAAAATGCTGCTTTCCCTGTCTTCATGCGTGAAAACTAGAAGTGAAACATTTTTTGTTTGTCATTGGTTGGGTGATGTTTGAAGTTTAGTTATATGTCATGAATTGTTTCCTCACACATATTTTTGTATTCCTTTTATCATTCTGTTACAGTTGCTGATAGTTTGAAATATATTTTACTAAAAAACAAAATAGGAAGAATTCAAAGTAAACATTTCCTGATCACTGCAGTTTCTTATTTGTTTCTGTAGTGATGAATTATACAGTTTTATATCAACTTGTAAAACTAAAATTTCTAATGTTGTATGATGTTAATTTGGAGAAAGTCGAAAGACCCCGAGTTTGTGTTTGAAGCTTAATATTGACAATTGAAAATATTCAAGTTTGCAATTTTTGATTTTGGAAGAATCTTGTTGTGTTTGGGAATGTTATCTAAAATTGTCAAGTGAAACTGCTTTTGATTGGGATGTTTAGATAACTCAATTTAAATTTTCCAAGTTAGCTAAGAGGGATATACAACTTTTTCCTTGAAAAAATTAAGATAACGGTGGGAAATGTTTTTGATGATATGCGAAACAAATGAGGAGATTAAGTAAATATTGAATCAAGCTACTTTCCTGTTTGAAGCAGAGACCATCTTTTGCAATTCAAAAATATTGAATTTGATCTTCTGTATATTGACATACTTTTGGTAATTGGTGCTGTTAGATGCTTTGTCAATAATTACACTGTCCAGCCAAAATAGCAAGTTGTTTGGATCTATCTTAGTTGATAGAGGCTTGCTCATGAAATTGTTATGGACATAGTCGGATTGAGGTATCACCAGTTAACTGTAGGATTGAGTTGATTAAAATTGAAAACTTAACATGAAATAAAATTTGTCTAACTTCTAAATGTAGTTAACTGATTTCCATCATATTTGCAGGTTTCTAAATTCAAAGATCCTCGCGATGCTTGTGCTGCAATTGTGGCTGAATCTTATCGACTTTGGTTGCAATATGAAACTCGTACGGATGATATTACCATTATTGTTGTTCATATTAACGGACTAAACGATGTATGATGTTTCTCTTTTCCCTCTTTTATTTAAGCACACCCTTTCTTGGAAAATATTCACGGTGCTTTTTACTCCTCCCTGGTTGTTTGTAACTAATTTTGTTTTCACGTCAGCCTGCTGTTGGTCAATCTGCCAGCTATGGTGATGTTCTTAGAACTCCAGTTCCTCAAGTTGTTGAGGTGACAGGATCAGAATCACCTTCCACCTTGGGCTGGTACTCCAAGAACCCTCGGGCAAGGCATGACTTATCAAGGGCGCGTCTCCGAGCAATTGAAAATTCCTTAGAAAATGGGCAAACTTGGATTCCTCCATCTTCTGCTCATAGGAAAACATGGGAGGAAGAAGTAAGTTCTGCTTTTGCTTATTCCCTTCACAGATTTCTCCTCCATTTAACATTTTTCAGTTGCAATTGTCATGAACATTGTTATTTATGTCTACCATTTTACTTTATTATTTCCACTTGCAAGTTCAATATATGAATCTTTATTGGTGTTTCATTTTCATATGCTACAGGCACAAATTGAGCGGGCATTGCACGATCATTTTCTCTTCAGAAAGCTTACCGATTCTCAGTGTCATGTTTTATTGGATTGCATGCAAAGAGTTGAAGTTCAACCTGGAGATGTTATAGTCAAACAGGTTTGCTTTTCCACTTAAAACCCTTAAGTACTGTAATTCTTCAGCTTTTACTTGTTTGTGTAAGCATTTAACATTGTGGAGCCTCTTAGAGATACATAATGAGCAGAGATTCTGATTTAGGTTGGTTTTCGGCTTTCAAATTGTACTGTGCACATAAATTTCTGAAGTGTGTGTGTATATATTTGCCTGAAGTATTATCGATCAAGAATTGATAAATCTGCTGCTGCTGCATGAGGTTTTTTCCTTAGCCACCTTTTTCAATTATTACATATGGCTATAGTTTTGCAGGAAAGTGAATCCTAATATTGATGTTCTACCTTCTATATATAGCCTGTCAAATATTATATTCTTTGGCTGAAAATGGAGAAGTTTGCTATCTTAAATGGAACTTAAATTAGCTATTTCAAAGTATGTTATATATTTATTAGATATGAATTATAATTCAAGAGTTATGACAGTTATCCCTTGCAGGGTGGTGAAGGTGACTGTTTCTATGTTGTTGGTAGTGGAGAATTTGAGGTCTTGGCAACTCAGGTTTATAATCTTTATCAGTTGTTTGCATTGGGCATTCCATTTATCGATATGATGGCCACAGCTTTTCTTTCTTGGACTACTGAATCTTTCAATTGGAGTGGTGCTTCCCAGACTTTAAAATGTCTAAAAGTTAGATTTCATGCTATCATTATTGTTTCAATGTTGATGTCTCCCAAAACTTTTTTACCCCTCCATTTCACTTTTTAATTTTGCCAGCTAATGTTGATACTATAACTTCACCCCTCATATAGCCTGGAATCTCCAGATGCACTCATTTTTTTCCTTGCCCTGTTGTCATATTATAAATGTTGCTTCTTGTTCTAGGTGATATTTTCTGAAGTTTTGTATTTTAATGTGACATTATTGAAATTTGAATGCTTGTTCAACATATATCAAATTGCAGGAGGAAAAAAATGGGGAATTGCCTAGGGTTCTGCAGCGCTACACAGCAGAAAAATTGTCTTGTTTTGGAGAACTTGCTCTCATGTGAGTTCCTTATCCCCCCCCAACCTTCTTACATTTAACTTATCTCAAGCATTGGAATTAATTTGCTTGAGAATTGCCATCCAGGAATAACAGGCACATAACTTGGGCATTGTAAATATTGAGCGTGATGCTTTTGCATTTGCCCTTCTTTTTAATTGAAAAATACTTCAATTCATTTTCAGGACATTTTTCCTTCTCCTGCTGCAACTGCAACATTTAGTTTTGGAGAAATTTTATCATACCTGAAACTAAACAAATGTAATGAGTTGTGCGAATGTGGCCATTCAAATTTTCCAAGGGTTGTCAAGATAAAGTTGGAAATTACTGCACTTGTATTGAAGCTGCTTATTTGTTTATTCATTTTTCTTTTTGTTAAACCTTCATGTATGGAGCAAGCCGAATTGGGAATGACTTACCCTTTGTCTTTAGTATCCCAAGGGAGATTAATTCCTTCTACCAGCAGAGGATGCTCCTAGTGTCTTTCCAAAAAGAAAAAAGAAGCATAAAACTTTTTTGCCTTGCAACTATATAAATTGTTCTGAAATTTGTGGTCTTAACAGGTATAATAAACCACTTCAGGCTTCTGTACGTGCTGTAACTGAAGGAACTCTATGGGCCTTAAGGCGAGAAGACTTTCGAGGAATTTTAATGTCGAAGTTCTCTAACTTATCATCTTTGAAGTTGCTTCGGTCTGTTGATCTCCTTTCAAAGTTGACAATCTTACAACTCAGTCAGATCTCAGAGTCCCTCTCTGAAGTTTCCTTTTCAAATGGACAAATAATAATTGATCAAGTAAGACCTTGAGATGTTAAGCCCATTTTCTCTTCCTTATTTCCTTATACTTATTGAGCATTTCTTTCAGAATGAAGCCTCTGCATTGTACATAATTCAGAAGGGACAAGTGAGAATAACTTTTGATTCAGATTTACTGAGAAACCCAAATGCCTGTAGCCTGAAGCCTGACTGTCAAAATGAGAATGATGATTTACAGAGCACGAAGGACGTATCAATAGAGAAGCCGGAGGGAAGCTATTTCGGTGAATGGACTCTTCTTGGTGAAAATATTGGAACCTTAAGTGCTGTGGCTGTGGGTGATGTGTTATGTACTGTACTAACAAAGGAAAAATTTCAATCAGAAATTGGCCCCTTGAAAAAGTTGTCTAAGGAAGATCAGAAGTAAGTTTTATTTTGTGCGTGTCTCAAACCGATTTTGATATTTGTGTGTTGGCTAATATGCTAAACCTAATTGACAAGCCTCATTTCCTTGATTTTGTTAATTTGATGGCAGGTCAAGGGACAATTCATCAGACTATTTGAAGGAATCAAGTAAAAGTATTAATTTTTCTTCACTTGATAAAATCCATATCTCAGATTTGGTAAGGGGTTCTGTGTCTTTTGTTTTGTCATGCAATGCCATGCTGAGGATATGCGTACTCAAACTAGCTTATGGTTTTATTTTCTAGGAGTGGAAAAAGAGTGTATATTCTACTGACTGTTCTGAGGTTGGGCTTACTCTATTAGGAGACTCAGGTAGATTTCTCTTTTCTGATGTCGTCAGTTGTTGTCTGAAAATAGTTGCATGTTAACTTTTCCTACCGCATAATTTTCTTCTTCTTTGTTGACTTGGGTGGCTGTTCTTTCCTTCAGTTATAGCATTTAATATTGCAATGAAACGCTCTACCAAAAAGAATAGATATTGCAGTGAAACAATGTACGTGTGCTTTCACTGATGTAATTTGCTGTACAAATATGGCTGGCTAGCAGAGAATATGCTTACTTTGAAGAGGTTTTCTAAGCAAAAGGTGAAAAGGCTGGGAAAGGAAGCACAAGTTTTAAAAGAGAAAAATTTGATCAAGGGCACGAGCCCTTCGGCTTGTATACCACAGGTTCTGTGCACCTGTGCTGATCGAGTTTATGCTGGGATACTACTAAATACACGCCTTGCTTGTCCATTGTCTTCCATACTTACAAGTCCTTTTGGTGAATCATCAGCTCGATTTTGTGCTGCTTGTGTTGTTACTGCCTTGGAAGATTTACATAAGGTCTTGTGTCCGCATATAATTATTTTTCTATTTGATTTTTCATTCTTTAAATTGTGGTCACGTTTTTTTCATTGTTCTCATTCTTTTTTCTTCTTTGAATTTCAGAATGGTGTTCTTTACAGAGGGGTATCACCTGATCTTCTGACTTTGGACCAAACTGGATGTATACAGGTCAGGAGATCTTAAAGTCGTAATGTGATGCACTGTATCCTATGCATTCATATATTTTTCCCCAAAAAATACCCATGAAAAGGAGAACCAAATGCACCTCCCTTGAGAAGGAGAACACTATATGCACCTGTGCTAAACTATGTCTCTGTTTGTAGCTTGTGGACTTCAGGTTTGGGAAGAAACTCTCAGATGAAAGAACATTCACAATTTGTGGAATGGCAGACTCATTAGCTCCAGAGATTGTTCTGGGAAAAGGCCACAGTTTCCCTGCTGACTGGTATGACAAGGCTTGTCTGATTATTGATTCATTTCAAACCCCAAAGTTTCTTGTCTGTGGTGCCTTCCTTTCCTTGGTTGCGAAAAATACATAAGATAAACTAAAATATCTGTTACCAAAGGCAAGTTCATGTGGTCTGCATTAATATGTTGCTATGACGAGTCATGGCAAATAAGGTTTTCGTTCCTAGAATTTTAATATCCTTTAGAGCCTTGTTTCTGCAGTGATTCTTTGAAAACCAAGTTTGCATCACATGTTAGCAAGATGATTCAACTGTATTGTTGTTAAAGATTTATGCTGCTTATGGCTGATATATTTCATTTGAAAGGATTCCCAATCACCTGTGTCGTTTCATAGGACTCTCGGTGGCTCTGAGTCATTAGAATTACAAGCTAATTTATGGCCATTGTCCTATGTGCCTTGACTACTTTTTTGGATATGGTGATGGTGATGCAGGTGGGCGTTGGGAGTTTTGATTTATTTTATGTTACGAGGTGAGATGCCTTTTGGATCGTGGAGAGAAAATGAGCTTGATACAGTGGCCAAAATTGCAAAAAGGAAGCTGAACCTTCCAGAAACTTTCAGCCCGGAGGCTATTGATCTCATCACTAAGGTATTGCAAGCATTGCAGCCTGGTTTCTGTCTCTTCCTATCTTGTTTGATTTTACATGAAGAGAAAAGGAGAATACTGATTCATTTTGGTTGACTAATTTGATCAGTTACTTGATGGTGACGAAAGCACTAGACTTGGTAGCCAAGGTCCTGATTCTGTCAAAAGCCATCCTTGGTTTAATGGTGTTGACTGGGAAGGGATAAGAAATCATAGCTTTCCTGCTCCTCCAGAAATTCTCTCTCGTATAACTCTATACCTGGAAATTCATTCCGAGGATTGCACCGGTTCCCAAGTTTCCCCGTCACAAGAGGTAGATGAACTTAACATTCCTGAATGGCTTGAGGACTGGTAGCAGAATGGATTCAGGACTTCATGTTCTTGTAACATTTTGATTGAAACACTTGCAATCCAAGAAATCGTTAGGAAGGCAGTTTCACGGGAAAAATGCTTATAAACCGATAGATCCAAGTGCTTCTCCATAATTCAATTTTTTGGCAACATGACTATGTGGTTGCAGTGTGTCTCCAATAGCTCCTAGTGTTTACTATTTGCTTCCTTCTATTAGTTGAAGTTCTAGAATAGATGCTGTATGTATGTATACTTATATAGCTCTTACGCCATCTTTTCAGTTCACTTTTACTTGGGAGGCAGTTTCCCTCCTGTGTAAATTACACATGGAATGTACAGGAGCGATTTTCTTTTTCATTATGAGGTGAAAAATTCTTACTTTTCATCAATTTTCTGCATGGTAAGTAATGCGGTTTATCCATAATGTATTTTGTATTTCAGCCGTAAAAGTTGAAAATGGAGTTATTACTACTTAGTGTAGTGGTCCCTCAAAGATATGAGCCTAATGTTTTAATTATTTAATTTCATTTTTACATGATTCAGCCTTTAAAAATTTGACTTGTTCGTTTATTTTCCATGAATAAAAAAGGTAAAAAAAAGGGAAATAAATATACATGCTCTTGGATCTTAAAAGCAGCACAATATACTTGCAAGCCATGCAATTAAATTTGATGATTGATATTTAATAGTAGCTTGTAAAAATGTAAATTAATTAAGATCATTAAAATTCAAATTGGATGATGTAGAATTACAGAAGGGTAGATGGAAGTTGGACTCAAGCTTCGTGCATCTTAACTAGTGACTGAGATGGCTAACATCACATCACCAGATCAATACGTGATCACATGCTTCATAATACTACCCCACACCTTCTCCTCAGTAATTAATTTTTTTTTTTTTGTCTGATTGATTCCCCAGAATATTATAATCAGAGAAAGGACGAGAGGCACATCTAACCAAACGCAAACCTAACTAACTGAATCACAATGACAACTATAATTACTGTTAATTTATGCAGAGTTGCCTGATTATGACGACATGATAGTCCTCCTCTTCCTCGTTGAGTTTAAAAATTTTGTTCAAACTCAAGTAGCAAATCTTAATTCTGTGGGTTATGCAAGATAACCTTGTTTTACTCGCAGATTCTGGAGATGTATACCATATCCAATAGTGGAGCAGCCTGATTAGGTTGGTTTGTAAAACCTTCATTGTGCAGATTAAGACAAGGGAAGAGGACCCCACAGATATGTCACTTGTTTTGTATATTACTTGCCTTGCGCCATTAAATGATGCAAACTTGTCATTTAAGATATTGACCAAAACCTCACCTGTCTGCAAAACTTAATGGAATTTTGCTCTTAAGGATAACAGGTTCATCATAGTAAGTATTATAAATTGCAGACTTCGATCTATTTGCGTTTTGGTGGTTCCCTTGAGTCAACTTCGCCAGTTATCAGTGGCCACCGCGTCTGGGTTTAGGTGTACATTTATTGTTTGGCTTCAACTGCTGAATGATGTCTAATAAGATAATTCAGAGTAAACTTGTTTACTTTGTCAGATGTTCCTTTTTTTCCCCTTAAAAAATTTAACGTATTAAGATAGGGGGGAAACTTTTAAAAAATAATAATAGTTTTGTTTTAATTTAAGAGTTTTCTTTTATAATATTCTTTCCTCTAAAATTTCCTCTCTATCCAAACCAATAGTGTGGATAAGATTTGCTTTTACGCTAGCTCCTTTTTTGCTGCAAAAATTTAACAATAGTTGTTTATCATCTTAATAATATTTTTTTTGTATTAAATTAGTCTTTTGATATATTTTTTAGGAGAATAAAGTGTTTAGATAAATAAAATGTTAAAAGAACTGTAAGCATGTATTGATATTAAAAAATAATGGAAAGTAAATTAACTTAATAATTAATTTGGGTAAACTAGTTTTTGTAGAAGTTGCTTTCTGCTTTTGAAATTGCTTTAGAGAAGATAAGCGAAAGTCAGATACCTTCTCTGATCTGATCTCTTCCTCGCTTGATGGCAAAGTCGGAGAAAAAGAACATGCTTGATTCGTGGAAACAGGTTGGCATGTAAAATCACCCACTTGTTGTCGAAGTTCATTAATTTTTTTTATTTGATTTGCTTATAATAAAACGTTATGATATTAATACGTCAAGCATAAGAAAATAAGAGATATGACTTTTTTTTGGGGTAAGTAGATGACAAGATATCTCTGAATGAATCTATGATTGTGTTTTGATTTCTAGAACTGAGAGTTTCAATTTCAAGAACATTTCGTTTTCCATAATCTCGATAACCTTTTAACTTTTATTTTGCATAAAAAGTAGTTTACACAAAATGACAAAATTTACGTGTAATTTTTTCATAATACCATCAGTACATTTTTTTAATAATATTATCATATATATATATATATATATAAACAAAACATCATTTATTTGAATTTCTAAATTATTTTCCTGTATTATAATTTTATTAAATAAAAAACATGATAAGAGTGATACTCCCTCCTATTCCTACTATGAGTGTCTTTTAAAAAGATTTTTTAATTCTTAATATAAGATATATGATGAGATATTAATTACTTTTTTTAGTATTACTTTTATTGAAACTCATTAAGTATAAAAGATAATATAATATAAATTTTAATTTTTTTCATTTAAATTAGAGGTAGAATTTGAAGTTTAGTCTATCTTTGAACAAAGTTAATAACCTAAGCCATATCTTTTTAATTTTGGTAAGGTAGTTATAAATACCTTGTAGTAAATAGGGACAAGAGGGAGTATATAATGACAAAACCAGAATAAAGGATTTCATACACGTATTATTATTAAAAAATTACATTTCTGATCTTAGTTACAAATTAACACTAAATATATTACATTCTTTCTATAAATTCTGGAATTAGCTAGGAACAGCATAAATTGAATTGGAGCAAGAACAAGAAAGGTTCACCCGTTTCTCTTGAACTACATGAAAATTGCTAAATAAAACCTCCATGAGGCTGTTGATCAAGGACTTGAGCTCAAATATGGCCATTCAATGTCCATTAAAAGTCAAAACAGAACGCACCTTACCATCTTGGGAAGGTGACGAATGATTATTGATGAAACTATACATTTAAAGGCTGAGATCTTTCCCTATTCACAAACCATTGAACTGTTCTTCTGGCGATTGGCAGCCATAGCTGCCTCCTTCTTTCCTCTTTAACATCATCTGCAATCACTGAAGAATCCCTCAAGACTCTGCCTCTCATACCCAAATCTCCAAATCTTGATACGCCAATGATTTCTGACATCGATCTTTTCTCCCCCGGATTTACATATTTTGATGTTTGACTGGAAGATGAAGTTCCTTCACAATCTGACGCATCTAGAACTGAGTTTAATGCACCTACCTTGGTCTCAAAGGATATCTTCCTCTCCATCTCCTCCTTTATGTTGATGATATGCCCATTTTCTCCTGACGTTGAGGATCGAATCGGCTCGCCGTTTTGTTCCGAAAGATCGAATCTTTTGCTCTGCATAGAACTAATCATCTCTGAATTCAAAAACATGAGGTCTGAAGAGCTCACGTTGCTCCACCGGTGCCTGAACACCACATCACTAATAGTAATCTTGTGGTTATGTTTGTGATACAACTTTCCATCATGATGCTCTGTTTCTTCCTGGATTGGTAATTCTTCTTCCTTAATGCTCTTCCCAGATTTCCTAAAGCTGCTTCCAATAGTGAATCTAGAAGACCCACGACGTTCTTCTTCTCTCTGAACAAAGATCTCTATATTGGGTTCCTCACCGTTCTCTGACTGGCTAGTTAGAAGCCTCAAACTGGTTGAGTAGGTGAGCATGGTTGGGTCATCAGGACTGACCTTTCGTCTACAAAGAGGACAGCTAGAGTGTTTCTCAAGCCAATAATCAATGCATTCGATGTGGAAGGCATGTTTGCATTTGGGAAGAAGCCTGAGGATTTCAATGTCTTCGAACTTTGACAAGCACACTGCACATTCGAGACCTTCTTTTGAGCCTTTGAGGGTAGAGAATTTGAAGAAGGGGAGAGATTCTATGACAGTCTTGTCGATTCCGGAGAATCTGGACCTTGATCTCACAAGTGCAGCAGGGGGGTTCTCAGGGTCAACGTGAGCTAAAGCTCTGCGTTGACAGAACTTGGCATACAAGAGAAGAATGAACGTGAGTGAAAACATTAGACATAGGATTCCTATGACAACTGCTAAACTTGGTTGGAAACTGGAGATGCCATCGAGTGAAGGTACACTATCATTCATCTGTTGTTGTGCTGTAACAGGGATGAGTGTTAGAGAGAGAAGAGAAAGACGAAGACCCAGTTGTCTCATGGTTACGCCGCTGCAAAATCTGTTCATTTGAGTAGTTGTTGATGGCGTTGGTGCGATTGAGCAGTAACCTTTTTCTTTTATTAGTCTCTGTTTTCTTTTGTTTTCTTCTGAGGCTTGTCTGTTGCGTCTTACTTTGATTCTCCTCCATTTTATTATAATACTGTGCTTATAAATATGCTGAATTTGAACAACAAAAATTATTTTAATTGATAAGAATTTAATTCATAACTCACAAATAGGATCAATTCCATCTAATATGAGGATTTTATTGATGGGTAATTTATAAATATTTTTACTAGTGTTCCTTGAATTTGCATGTAAGCCCTAATTTAAACCCAACTCAACTCAACTTTCTGAAATTAAAAAAAAAAAAAATGCTGAATCTGGTACTGATGATGACAAGCTGGGGGAAAGAGAGTCTTCTAATTGTAAATATTGGAGGTCGTTGCCTTGATAGCAATTCGATGAATGAAGAAATAAACAATCGCATCCCATCGTTTTACAATATATGCTCACGCTATCCTTTGATTACAAGATAGATTAAATTATCGAAGTGTTGACTTTTGGCCTTCTTCCGGAATAGACTCCGTTTTTACTTTGCTTTCTTACCCAATTTTAGATTCACTGAATTTTCATGTGTATGTGTATGTGTGAGTGTTTGTGTTTGTATGTGTTCTGGCTGCTCTCCAGACCAGAATATTCCAAAATCCAAACACTCGGAGACGGAGAGATTAGAGATGTTATAACTCTGACTCTATTTATATCTTAGGACAGCTATGTTGGGGGAAAAAATAAAGAAATGTTTCATTCACAAGGTAATTAAAAACATAAAAGTCAAAGTTTGTTGCCATATAGAACATCTGAGTTGAAGTTAATGAAAGATTTTGATTAAGTCCACGTTTACATGCTGATCTTAAACCTAAACTTTAGGAAACCCATGACAGACCACAGGCGCATTTTAATTAAGCTAAGGCACCTCCTGAAAGGCCAGACGTTTAAAATTTGCGATCATATACTTTTTTTCTATCAGGAAAATTTTAAGTAAATAAAATACCTTCAGACTCAAAAAGCAATTATAGAAGTACTAATAGATCACTCAATAAAAAGGTCCTCGTATCAATATAGTAAAATTTGGATTCATGATATTATAAATTATGGGTTAAATTTTCGGTAACTGAACTAAACAGTTCAATATACTTACACTACTTAACTGTCTGTGTCCAAGGCATGTAATGTTAAATTAGCCTGGCGTGAATTTGAAGATTGATGGACAAAATTTGAATAATTTTATTATAAAAAAACTCTTTTATATAGAGTATGCTTGACAAATAGTTGAGAGATTTAGCGTCTATTTATAAGATCAGAGTTAATGCCATTAAAGACTCTATATTTAATAAAATAAACTTGCAAATCCCAATCAGTGATGGCATGGGTTTAGGAAGGTTGGCACCCCACAATTTTTTCTCCTCTAATAAATTACTTCCTTATTAATTTAATAAGTCATTTTTATCTGAATTAAAAAAAACTTTAAACCTTATTAATTTTATTTAAAATTTAATAAATTTTTAACTTTACGCCTATTAAATATATTTACTTTAAAATAAAATACTCTAACATTTAATAAACTTCAGTATATTTAATAAGGACAAAATGATAAAGATGATCATAATAATTATTGAGATGTCTTATAAATAAAATTAAAATAAATATTCTCTCTCTACTCTATAAATAGGACCAAAAGATTATATTGAATGATAGTTTTACATTTGAGGTTGAAAAAAAAAAAAAAGACATCATAAAGTCCCCCACAACTTGGTCAGATAATTATTTTTTTCGCTTCCCATAAATTACTTGCAGATCTGTCATGGCTCCTAATTTCCAATATTTATTATATTATATACTATCCCACAATTTTCAACTTACATTATTTACCATTGTCAAGACTACTGAATATAGTATACATGAATGGCCCAAATTGCGGGTCTAAGCATAGATCATGATGATTTGTATAAAAATAATGGACCATATAGACCAAGTTTATTTTTCTAGCACATATTTCTTCAGAATAATAAACAATAATAGTATAATACTATATCACTAACGTAAGATGATTTTGAAGTACGGTCACCATCCTCCCTAATGATATGGCTGAACTGCGAGGTTGAGTTTTGAGAAACTATGATGAAGATCGAAGAAGAACACACGCTGATATTGTGATAATTGAGTTCCAGGATGTTGTTTGTTTTCCAGGACAGCCTAACACGAGAAGAGTACGTTACGGGTCAAGTTTATAATTAATTAATCAATCAGTCGATCGATCATGGCCGTGGGTGCGTTAAATTATTGAATTTTGACATCTCTCGTGTTTCTGCCACATGTACAAAGCAAATTCACTTTTTTCATTTCAATATGAATATTGTATTCCTTGGATTTCAATAATTGTTTTTTTTTTTTGGTGTCTGAAAAAGTTTTCAATGCGTTATTCTCGATCCATATTACTGTAAAAACGAAAAAAGAATGATCTATTAGATGAATCTCAGAACGCGGGCACTGAACTTAGACTTTAGTGATTGAAGGGGAAAAATCAGACAAATGAAATAGACCAACGTCTGAATAAAGGAAAAGAAAAAGAAAAAATTAGCTTAACGACATCAAAAAATATAACTATCATAAATTATGAATGAGGTTTTTGAATATTTTAAAATATGGTCCATTCATAAAATTAATTAGATGTGTTTTTTTATCATTAGAATAAATTTATTATTAAAACAGAATATATTTGATTTAATTTATTTTTAGCTGACTGGATCTTTTATTTTTATCATTAAAATCATATTGTGCGTGTTCCCTCTCTAATTTATCATTTTTAAATATTTTTTTCATTAGATTTTTTAATCTAATTTTCCTAGATTATCATATTTATCTCTTATACAGTGCTTTTCTTCATTAGAATTTTTAATTTGATTTACTTAGATTACCATCTTCATAGCAGAGCTTTTCCTCTCTCCCAAATATTATGAAGAGGACATTAGACATTGAAGAGGAAACTCTATTATTGATCTGTGATATTACATCATTAATATATGGCTGTATATCAATGATAAACAAATTGATAAGTTTTCATTTATATAGTTTACATATCAGTGATATATAATAGTATATCACTGATATACTATTGTAGATCAACATAACTAGGCAATTAGATATAAATTTATTTATAATTGATATACAGTTATATATTAATGATGTAGTATCGCAGATCAGTAATACAGAAAACACATAATCATTTATTCAAAACGGATCAAACATAGTCTACAAAAAGTTTTGGACTCTTAATTTATTAGAGATAATCAAATACTTAAATTAATAAAATAAAAAATATTAAATCTGTAGCTTTGTTTTTCCACTGGCGTGCTTCGTTTCGTTGATGTATCTCACCTCGTGTTTGTCTCTCACCGTCTTAATTGTGGCTCACTTGTACTGCTTTACTATCTTGCATTCATCTCTCTTGTATCGAGTTTTGTTTTCTCTCTCGCATTTGCCTCGTTCATTCCAGAGATTTCTTGCATTTTCAATCTCTTGATATTTGAAAAAAGCAAATATTAAAAAGGACAGTTTTATAAATTAATTATAATCTAAATATTAAAAAGATCATTTTTGAAATTTAAGAAATGATAGACTATTTCTTTTATTTGATCTTATAATATGGGCTATTTGTGCAAAAGTCCCAAAAAATTATCCCTTGTATTATTTTTTAAGAATTTAAATTCTCTAAAGTTGGTATTCATAGATTTATATGATTTTTTTTAAATATTTTTCGTCATTTTATTATTTTTTATAAAACATAAATTAATCGCCCTTCCTTAAAACTGTAAAGTTTGTGAAATTCACGAATTCTTAATTTAAGAGAATATCGATTCCATTTTTGAAAGCATCTAAAAATAGTGGTTGAAAAAAATCAAGAAGCTAAGAGTAATTATTTTTGGCAAAGGGAAGGGAAGGAGACAGCAGAATAAGCCATTCATAAGATTCTGGAAGCAGCAAGCTAAGTGTGAAGAGATCAGAGAAGGCATATATGTAAGTAATATAATTCATGTTAATTATATAGATCTGTAGAGTCAGAGTTCATCCGTACGTTTTGCCTTGATTGAAGCTACATGATTACTTTGTCATTGTGAATCCATTTCGACAAAATAGAACACACATAGACATGCTTAATTATGATCGATGAGCGAGTTCGATATATGGAATACTATATATTTTATGGGCGCATTGCATGAATTTTTGTCTTTTGGTATCTGTTGCTGATCTTTTCTGTTGCTCCAACTTTCTGAGAGACATTAGAGCCATGACACTTTGGGATTGGAATATCTCTTTAGTTTATTCTTGTAATGATAGCATAGCTCTTGTTAATCTTCTAAACCTTGGTTCTACTTGCTCTGATTCTTTTGGCTCCTTTAATCATCAACCTTTTTAGATTTGTTTAGAGAGGTGGATGGTGAAAGGTGTTAGGCTTTTTTCTTTTGATTTGTAGTCTTTCTTTGTACTCTGGTTAGTTTGTTAATATTTAGTCCCATTTTAATTCCCAAAAAAAAAAAAAAAGAAGAAACAAAGAAGAAGCAAATCACCTTTTTCATTTTTACGGTTATTGAATTCCTTAGTATTTCAGAAGTTTCGTTTTATCTATATGCAACCAAAAAGAGTATTATACATTCTCGAATCCTAAGATTCATTATAGTTCTCTCTCTCCCTCTCCCCCTCCCCCTCCATCTCTCTCTCTCTCTCTCTCTTTCTCTCTGTCACACACACACACAAAATACACACGCACAATTTGAGAGGAGCTTTTGAAAACTGGAGGTATATATAATTTTAATGCAAGCACTCCTTAATTTCATAAATTCTGAGTGCAAGCCCCCAAATAGATTTTGTAGTGAGTAAATATATTTTCTTAAACTAAGACTCTAGGTCCAAGACCTTTAAATGAGATTTACTTACCAATGCATGATATTTTAGGACGGCATATATCTTTGAAACTTGTTTGCTAATGTTGAAGCTTGATTGTGCATCATTAGAAACCCCGGCGAATCTTTT